GATTGGGATCGGGGGGGGGGGATCGTAGTCGGGGGGGGATCGCGACAGCGGGAGAGGAGAAGAAGAAGAAGAAGAAGAAAAGAAACGAGGAAGGAAGATAAGAAGGGAAGAAAAAAAATAAAAAAATAAAACTGTCGTTGATTACTTATCTGCGTGACGGCAACGACGGCGATGACAAGGACGGCGCGGCGCAGCGACGAGGACGACGGGTCATGGTGGTGATGACGTGGCACGACGGCGGCAATCCCGTCCGTGATGATGATGACGGGGCACAATGACGACGATCACGATGATGACGATGATGACGTGGCACGGCGGCGACGATCTCGACGATGATGTTGATGATGGCCAGGAGACGACGTCGAAGCAGGGTGGGTCGGGCGGGTTCGAACCGCTCCGATACCAGTGTAACGAGCGTGAGGCTGAGGGTGAGCCGAGGGAGAGGAGAGAGAGGGAGAGAGTGAGAGCACACACACACACTCACTCACTCGACTCGACGGACTCGGACTGAGGGTCGGACGCAGACACAGTGGTAAAGCACAAAGTCGAAGTCTTGGATTCCGAGTGCCGAAACAGCAAGTCACACTGAGTACGAGTACAGCAGCGGAGAACTGGTACGAGACTGCCCCCCCTACCGTACGGGGAGCCGGTATAAGTACCGGTGACAAGTACGGTACCAGGGGCATTTCTGCAAAGGCCCCGAGGGCAGAACTGAAAAATGCAGCATTTGAAAGTGGCACCCGAATTGCAGCATGGCGCCAGTTGTCCAAAATCCTATGGTACCAAAGGAGGGGTTTGGAAAAAGGGTGCCAGGCCGAGAACGGGATGCAGCCAAAACAGCAAAAGATAGACCAGGGATCGAGCCCTGGCGAAGTCCGTAACACAACAGGTCCTTGCAGTTCTTATGAAAAAAAAAAAAAAAAAAGATTTCGTGCAGGACAGGACGGGGGAGTGCACATCTCTGCACAGGTCGCACGCAAAACCGTACCAGACGAGAGATGGCCACACCGGACAGTGTGCAGCCGAGTGTGGTACGGGTATGGGCCTGTACCGGGGCTGCGGAGGTCCCAAACCAGACCCCATGCGGCGCACTGGACGGTGCGGTTGCAAGCATGCTAAAAAGGCAATGCATATAAACCGAGATCATGTCAAAGAACATGAACAACAAATGAGAAACATGTTTTCCGCCATTGAGGTAACAAACAGGAAGTGGAGAGGATGTACCATGTGATGCCCATGTCAGCCCCCCCCGCCCCCCCCAATTAAGCTTACCTGCCAGGAAGCTCCTTTGCCATTCGTGTCCACTTCTTTCCGAACTCTTTGTACATCCTGACAATTGCAGCATCCTCTTCCTCTGTCCATGCCTTGGATGGTGCTCTCTTCACGCACAAATCTGAACGCAGATGCATCCACCTGTCGAGACATCACAAAAAAGTTCAGTCAGACTGGGCAAGGCAAGGCAAACCAGCACGTGCGTCGTCATCATCATCTTCATCATCACCATCATCTCACATTAATATCCATTTGATTTCTATTTTGCTTCCACATTACGAACCTGATTAACCAAGTACTTTACTCTTCACTCCAGGGTTGCACCCCCCGATGGTCGGCACCTACCGGTCGGGGGTCGGTGGCACCCTGCAAAGTTTTTATTTTTTATTTTCTTTTGGGGGGCTCCAGAACCCCTAATAACACCACCAACACCCCCATAGCAGCCCCCAATACCCCCATACACCCTCCCAACACCCCCAAACCGCCCCCAACACCCTCATTACCCCCCCAATCACCCCTATACCCCCCTATAACCCCCTAAACCCCCCCTATACTCCAACCCCAACCCCCCCATACACCCCCCCAATCCTGTCTCTTATACACATCTAGATGTGTATAAGAGACAGCCTCTGCGCCTGCTCCGACCCAACCCCCCCATACACCCCCCCCAAAAGTTTCTCAGCGGATTTGGGCTGTACTCAGCAAGCACAGGACAGCCCCCAACTCACATTTGAAAAAAAAACAGCGGATGGATTTTTTATTTTTTTTTCCGACTGGTCGGCAGACCGCCTGGTTCACTCTCAATAATTGTATTGAGGTCACTGGGAGCGAGGTGAAAACAACATCAATCAGTCAGATGAACACGATTCAGAGACTGCCAAAAGAAGAAAAAGAAAAAAGCGCTGGACGAGGCCACCTGAATGCTAGAGTTTTCAAAAACAATGCACCGCCAAAACAGTCCAAAATCACGGAAGTATAGTCAAACCATTGCAGACGGGAGACTATTGCACAGTACGGTTTTTAAATGACAAAAGAATTAGCAGCGCATACACGATCCATTCGACATGAATATCCCTTCATCCAGGTCTGTGTTCTGCAATGACACAAATAGAAACAACCATGGAACCAACCGCAAGAGAGATCAACAAGTGAATTGCCCTTGAAACTAGGATTATCCAGAGGGACATGCAACGTCCACCTTCCAGTTCAGAGACCTCTCAAGTAGCCATGTCACTTTGTACATGCGGACAGTCGGGTGCATGATTTCCACACGGTCATTTGAACTTTCCACGTACATTTCAATCTTGCTGCTTCAGGGGTTTCCAACCCATACCCCTTGTTGAAGTCAGGGAAAAGGCATATCAGGCCCCTTGCACCATAGCAGGGCAAGCGGGCACCATGCAGCATCCACCTTACAGTTGAGAGACCTCTCTCAAGTAGCCATGTCAGATTGTACATGTGGACGGTCGGGTGCATGATTTCGGTGCGGCCGCTTGAACTTTTCAGATACATTCCAATCTTGCTGCTTCTGGGGTTTACAACCCATACCCCCTGTTGGAGTCAGGGAAAGGGCATATCAGGCCCCTCACACCACATCACATCAGGAACCAGAGGGGCAAGCGGGCACCACCCACATAGCATCAGGAGTCAGAGGGGCGAGCAGGCGCCGCTAGTGCTATGCTGGTGCTATGAAAGCAGGAGCTGGTTATGAAAGTGGCCACCTTGGATTGCAAACAGAACATAGGTGGAGTCCGACTCAAACATCAGAGGCCGCCACCTGCATTCTCGTCTCTATCCCACGTTAGTGACCCACTTCTGTCTGTACCCCAATTCGCGCATTTCACAGGTCCAGCAACACACGTTCGGTAGCACATCTGAGAATCAGTGCTTCACGGCAAGGACGACAGTCACTGTCTGTATGAATGGAGTGAATGAATTAGGTCAGGTACACACAGTTGGGACAGCCTCGGGATGAAGTGTATGTAACTCGCTAACAGAGAAATCTACAGCCTCGGGATGAAGTGTATGTAACTCGCTAACAGAGAAATCTGGACAGCAGAGGAACCAGTGGAGACAAGCTCTCAAGCTCTCACTGCAGTGCCTCACTGCAGTCATGATGCTACTCAGGGGAAATTGGAGCTCTGCTGACTTTATGAACTCAGGCAGGTAGGGTACAGGAGGACGAGCTACCTGGCTACGTGGTACTTCTTTCTTTTTATTTTTCAAGACGGGAGAAAACCAAAAAACAAAGCTTCGAATGGACTGCAAAAGACATTACATCATTCAGCAGTGCTCAGCCGGAAAAATGTTATTCCAACTGTTTCCAACTCCCGCTCGCACATCTCGCCTTAAAGAATTTACCACCAACAGATTATAGAGACCTTCACAACAACTTCCAGCTACCGATACTCCTTTCTCCATCATTCCCGCCTCAAAGACCAACTCAAAAGCCTGCTGTGCAAGTCTAAACTTCACCTATCTTATGAACTTGCGAATTGTAATGACCTGCAAAATCACAGACTGAGAGCTGTGCTGATTTCTTAGTTTTTTTCCGCTGGAATGTGTCTGCTGAGAATTCCTGCTCTTGCTGAGATTTCTAAGTCTGTGTATGAGCATGTTTGCTGGTTTCTGAGTGCCTGTCTGAGTGGACGCCTGCAAGATAGTGTGTGTGGCCCGCCAGGGCACTTGTGTGTTTGAGAGGCCCACGCAGACGGTACTTACCTGTGGCCGTGACTTCGAGGGTTGCAGCAGGGAAACAGTCAAGTGGCCGGATGCGTAGCTTACGGCCATGCAAGTAGCGGGTAGGCTAGGCCGGTAGCACTCAAGTAGCGGTAGGCCTAGCAGAAGAAGACAAAAAGTTAGGATTTTTAGAGGCCGAGGAACAAGAAGGCATATGTAGGCAGGTACCAGTCGACGCAGCCTGAGTCTAGGGCCTGTGCGGCTGATATCAGACCTGCAATGATGTTTCCCTACGAAAGGAGGAGGAACCGGTTGCTTAGGAGGCCGAGCAAGAGGTCACCGCCCAAGAGGCAAGTTGCCTCACTATATCTGGAGGCCGAGCCAAGAGCTCAGCCTCATTTGCGGTGTGCATGTTTGGGCGTCATGCTGCTTGAGCGGGCGCTGATTCTCAGAGCGCCGCTCAGGAGGAGGAAGGAGGAGCTGGGTGCTCAGCTTGGCTATGGCGAGCTGCCCAGCCTGAGGAGGAAGAAGGCGGCGAAGGAGGAGAGTGGCAACGTACTTAACTGGCTATGGAGGTCTGCATCTTCATCTTCTTGGTTCGCACTGCTGCTGGAAGGCCCTAGCTAGAGTGCGCTGCTACAAGAAGACTCCAGGGCAGATGGTTGGCATGGCAGTGCCAAGAGAAGAGACACCAGAGCTTTGCGTTGTCTTTTGCACATCAGGGGTGGGTCCCTGATGTCCACCATAGTAGCCCCTTGCTGGAGGAGGAAGAAGTAGTTGCTGAACTTGGATATGGTGGACCTCTTGTGTTGTCGGCAGTAAAGTTGGGGGCAATGCAATTTAAGTAAGAAAAACGGACTCACTTTGATGACGCTAGATGTCACAAATTTCGACATGCTTTGTTTTTTCTGTCCTCCGAACCGTACCATTGCATATGGCTCTCCAAGTAAATCTTACAAGGCAGTATTCCCCAATTAAGATTCAGAACTTCACATTAGCACTTTCTCTTCGATCCTTTGATAGCGTCGAGACCACGAGGAGGAGATTTGGACATTGGTTCTGGTTCAGCCATTCATTGTTGTTATTATTATTATTATTATTATTATTATTATTATTATTATTATTATTGTTCCTGTTGTTGTTGTTGTTGTCATTGTTGTTGAATAAGAGAGGTGTTATGATCCTGGCCAATCTCGAAGTACAGAATTCATGAGAAAGCACAATGACTTCCAATTGCTAAAGAAATGAATGAACTTGAGAAGGGCGGAAAGAAGAAAAAGAAGAAGCAGAAGATGTCACCAGGAAAGACCAATGATAATTTTTCTTCTCGCCAACCACTCTCCTCCTCCTTATCTCCTCCCCTCTTATTTCACAATAAATAATAATAATAATGTTGAATGGCTGAACCAGAATCAATGTTCGAACTTCGAACCCCATTTCTACTGCTTGGCATAACATGAGGTCCACCATAGCCATGGGCGCCTCCTCCTTCCTCTTCGTGAAGGCCGAGGCTATGGCGGACTACTAGGGCCTTGCCCTGCTGTGCAAAAGACAACTCAAAGCAGCTATGGCTGCTCCTGGTCAGGCCGCCATGCCTGACTCTGCCTTGAAGCTTCTTGATGTAGCTCTACCCCAATGGGGCCTTCCAGATGCAGCGCCCACTAAGGTGATGAAGGTGGCATCCACCATAGCCAGGTAACTACCTCTGGCGCTCCCCCTTCCTACCGTAGTCCTCGTTTTCCTCCTCCTCCAGCCCGGGCTCCTCTACCATAGCCAAGGTGGGGAGCTGGGCGCTACTTCTTCCCCAGCAGCACACTTCACCCAGCGCTGCTCCAGCCAGCCCTCCAGCAGTGTGTCGCCAAACTTGCACCCGCAGAACGAGGAGCTCTTTGCTCCTCCAGGAGATATAGCAGCCTGCTTGCCTCTTGGGCGGCCGCGCGGCCTCCAAACAACCGGTACCTCAGAGGGAAATATATTGCCCGTACAGGCCCTAGACTCAGACTACTTGGACGGGTACCCGCCTAGACCTAGCCTACAACTACTGGGACTCCAAAAATGCCAACTTTGTCTTCATCTGCTCGGCATTGAGTACCTGACACATCTACCTCTACTTGATGTGGTACCGACCTACCTGTTACTTGAGCGTTTTTCCACTGCTCTAAGTGTTGTAGCGGGCCTCTTTTCCCCGCTGCAACCCTCAATGTCACGGCCACAGGTAAATACCAGCCCTACGGGCCTCCCGCACAGACGAGTACTCGTGCGGATCACACGCACACTCAAACCGACAAGCACTCAGACGGGCACGCAGACCAGCAAGCACACACACACACAGACTTAGAAAACTCAGCAACAAGTGGGAAACTCAGCAAGGCATACATTCCATTGGCAAAACTCAGAAATCAGCTGTGTGTCTCAGTCCGTGTTTGACAGGTCCTTACAGAGGGGGAGATAAGGAGGAGGAGATTGGTTGGCGATCCTTCGATCCTTGTTGTTGTTCAATAAGATAGGGTCGAGTCCCGCGGGGAGGAGATTTGGATTTATCATTGCTCTTTTCTTGGTGTACATCTTCTTCTTCTTTTTTTACTTCTTCTTCTTCTTCTTCTCCTTCTTCTTCTTCTTCTTTTTCTTCTTCTTCCTCTTCCTTTGTCTCTCTCTCCTCTCAAGTTCAGTCATTTCTTTTTGCAATTGAATGGCATTGTATTTCCTCCTGTATTTGCACTTCGGAATTAGCCAGGACCATACCACAAACAATATCACGTGCTAAAACAAATTAACAACCTGCAGCAACCATCCTTCCCTCTCTCTTGTGGAGAACAGCACTCATAGTGCCTACCTGTCTTCTTCCTGGTAAAGAGGACATGAATCCTCCCTGAGTCCCTGGTGAAGAGGACAAGAAAACGAGCAAACTTCACAAGCAGCACCTTTCAGCAGACCATCGTCAACATCTATGGAACTTGTCACCTCCATCAAGCCCATCATCAACGAGCACCCACCCAAAGACCTGCATCCCATCATCTACTACCCTCCTACCCCTATCCCTACGGAGAAGCTGGAGGAGGGGAATCCAACGTCATGCCATTCTCAGCGCCTGTCTCGGACTCTTCAGAGAACTTGTCTCAGGACCCTTTTTTTTTTAACCTCGGGACCTTTGTTCTCTCTAGCCTCCATTTCCTCCATCTTGCAGAGATGAGTAAACATGTTTCTGTACAGTTTCCCCTCCTGCTGATTCTGCACTCTGTGTTTCCTCTTCAACTCTTTCACCGCCAGCTTCACATCCCCGATTCTCTGGATCGACGTTCGTCTCCTTCTTCAAGTCATCCTCCACTCGATCCAGATCGTCGGTGCCCATGTATGCATGTGCTCTTCTGTAAAGAGCCTTCACATTCTGGGAGTCGCTTCCCAGAACTTTGCTAAACAGCTTTATGGTTTCCTTGTAGTCCTTGAGTTTGAATTCACATGCCGCTTTGTGCAGATTGCAGACGATCTTCAATGCTTCTGCCAGTTTTATCTGTTCGGCGTCGGATGTGGAGTCGTAATCGATCAAATTTCATTGCTTCTCGTGTACTGCTTGGACGCCCTGACAATTTCCCCTCCCTTGAACAACACATTCCCGTCCCTTTCCTCCTGCTGTGGTCTCAACCTTCTCAGCATTATCCATGTCCCAAGAACCTTCGCCTTCACGAACGAAACCATGTCAACCTCAAACGTCAGTTTCGAGTTTGGTGGAACAACACCCTTATTGTCATGACGCTCGGTTGTGCCATAGCTGTACTCTGGTCCAATCATGATAAGTGCATGCTCCACCCCTTCATCAGCAACACAGTTTTGTGAAGGCCAGGGATACCTTCTTCTTCACCCGTTACAAACATGAGCAGTTCATTGCCCTCATCGATCCTTGGGACTCGAACACCGTGTCATCAGGTTACATATGAAACCCACTTTTAACGCTTCCCCACATTACGGCCTGGGGATCCCTGACAGCATTGATTACTTCCTGTGGAAGGACTGACTACGCCCATCCCTGAGCCAAGACCACTCACCTATATGCTCTATTCCTATTGGAAAAGAAAACACAACCTCTAAACCAGCCACTGGCAGCCAGATTAATCCCTCTCAGTCCATTGTAGTGAACCGTTTGAAAGTCAAATGTAGGTGGTACTTGCTGGCTCTGGTGCACGGCTCCTTCACGTCTGTTTTCTACTCACCTGATGGGCATAGAGTACAGCCTACTTGCCATATCTGCTTGACACTTGGCTGCGTCAGGACAAGGTCACCAGCCATGGGGTACGGGCACTCAAAGTGTGCACTGCTACAGGTTGGTTTTACGGCATTCATTGATGATGAATGTATGAGACACGCGGAAGAGGGTACGACAAAGTTTCTTTGATCTAGTTGCTCAGTTATTAACACTTGGACCGGAGTCTCCTTCTGTGTGTTACCCTGTCTTCTCCCTTATTCATATTGGGACGGAATCCGTGTATTGGCATCACAATTGTATGTTTCGTCACTGAAAAAACCTGAAGGCTCACAAGAGGGGACACGAGCAACACCAGAGGAGACCAGTACTGGCAGGTAGAGGAGTGTCAAGGGAGAGGGTACTCGTAACCGGACGCCAAAACGACTGAGCGGAAGCAAGATGGAGCTGAGCAGCAGCGGCAGCAGATGCAAGAGAGGAAGAATGAGGAGGGACAACAGCTATTTCTACTCTGCCTTTTCAATTACATCCAACAGCACACGAAGACCAAAACAGGCCAGCACATGGATGTGGTATCGAGAACATGCAGGAACAAGGAAATGGCACTGAGAAAACGCAGGCACAAGGATATGGTATCGTATATAATATGGAACAATACCTTGCACGACATTCACTCCGCTTCCTGCCATGGATCCTGACCGCCACCTTCTTCCAGTTTTCACCTACCTCTCCGACAACCTGCTGTAACTTGGTATCATCCTGCAGAGCAAACCCATTCCCAAAGTCTAACAAGTTATCAGCATCAAGCTCAGGGCATGCCCATGGGACGACCGATTACATTCATGGAGAACAGAAAAAGACACGAGAATAGAACTGAAAGGATGCCACAACTTACAAGCAGTCTAGCTCAAATTGAAGAAACCATCCACTTTCAGTGGCTCAGCCTACTCAAAAGAAAGCATCACTGACGATACAGAGATTTAGCAGCCAGGAACCAGGACCGGGAAATAAGGAAATATAGTAATATACGCCTTCTCATGCCTTGGAAACATCAGTGAGGGGGCCAAGCGGCCTAGCTCAGTTGGTTGAGCACGTAAGTGGTACACAGGTGACAGGAGGTTGTGGATTCCATTTACACACGACATCCGTTCGACTCCCCACAACCCCCTGCGTGGCATACTACGGGTTCACCGACTGAGAGAAAGTCAGTTTGTCCCTCCTGGCAGGTTGTGGAAGTTGGCAAGCTTTCCAGCGCGTGCCAGGTGTGAGGAGCTTGGGTGCTGCCCCCCGCACAGAGCAGAGATAGGTGTGAATACCCATAACCCTAGGATAGAGTCCGATTAAGGTAGTTGCCTTCCCTGGATAGGTGTGATTGTGGTCCAATGTCTGTTGGTCCCTTGCCTGGTGTATGGTTGCCTTAGGTTGTAGCGCCGGGTTCACCGACTGAGAAAGTCAGTTTAGGATGGGCTAGCATATTTAAGGTAGTTTTAATAGGTGTGATTGTGGTCCGATGTCTGTTGGTCCCTTGTCTGGTTTCTGGTTGCCTTGAGATGGTAGGTTGCTTGCCGAAACATGTGAGTAGGTTAAAATGTAGGTAGGCAAGGTAGCTAGTGCAAGGAAAGGTACGAAACTGCAGCTGTCCCCCATATGAGGAGAAGACAGACTTTTTTCCCTGGGGTAGGGGGGGGGGCGCAATCTTCAACATTTTCGGAATACAAGAGAGTAGTGGGTCCACGTGAGGTGATCAGGAATACATCTGCGAGAAAGATATGCCCATAGACCTGACATAGAAATCCGCGAACTAGAGATAGAACCAGCAGAATCAACTTCGACAGAAAAAAATGGAGTGATCAGGGCTTAGAAAATACCACTCGTTAGCACAGTTGCAATACCAATGAATTGTCAAACTACAGCAGGCCGAAGTTCGAAGCCAGATCCAATCAAATGGAACTCTCAATCTCTTCACTGATCTAACAACGTGAATGTATTCAGACCGGTGGCGACTCCAGATACATTTAGAAAGTTGTGCAGTGGAGCGAGGCTGCACAATTGAGTGTGAATGGAGCTCTCCACCTCTTTACGCACAATAGTCGCTGAGAGACAGCCACGCCGTGCCAACCTGCCTATGTCATTGTCAGTGTGAACGTAACTCTCCACCTCTTTGCGCACAACAGCTGAGCTGCGAGAGAGAGAGAGAGAGAGAGAGAGAGAGGGTTCACTTCGCCACGCCGCGCCAACCTGTGTATGTCGTTTTTGGGCCAAGTGTGAACGGAACCCTCCACCTCCTCATACACAACGGCGAGTGTGAACAGAACTCTCCACCTCTTCACGCACAACAGTCGCTGTGAGAGACAGGACAGAGAGACAGAGAGAGAGAGGGTGTACTTTGCAATGCCCGCCAATTTCCTTTTTGGCCGAGTGTGAACTAAACTCTCCACCTCTCACACACAACAGCGTTGGGCCGAGTGTGAATGGAACTCTCGACCTCTTCCCGCACAACACCACTGTGAGAAAGTGACGTTCAATTTTTATGTTTCTTCGACCGGCCCCAATTCAGAAATTCAACCTATTCCATCTGGACTCGACCTCACGTCTATAGTCAGACAGCTCATTGATGTACCGAGTGAGCTAGACCCGTTGGTGTCATTTGAATTTGACCGCCCCCTACCATGGGCCTGGCTCAGTCGGTACACTTGTGAACTGTCGAAATACAGACCTGGGGTCGAATCCAGAAGCAATCAGATAAAGTTTATAAACAGGATAAAATAGTTCTGGGGACTCTTTTACTTATTTCTGGACATGATTGCGCTCGCGGTGTAAGGCCTGTTTTCTTTTCTTTTGCTTGAGCGCATAGATGCCAGAGGCGGAGGGGGCGTGCGAGGGGGGCACATCACGTCCGCATGCCTCGGGAAAGAAGGACCCTGCCCTGCGTCCACCGTGGATAGATTTGTTTATAAAATGCAAATGGCATGAAAGATCAGACACAGGGCTGTAAACATCGTGTTCCATTTGGACAAACTCACCTCAGGCGTCCAGGCCATTTCAGCCTTCGGAGTTGCATTTCCACCCTCTCCTGCTGCTGGTTCCCCCACTTCTTTCCCTCCTGCTTTTGCCAAAGAACCACTTGTGACAACTAAAGCCTCATTGTTCGCACCTGCCTTCAGAAATGCTGCTGACCCCACCACTCCCTTCCCAGCACTTGCCGCAGCGCTTCCCGTAGGTTTGGTACGTGCAGCCTCGCCCTTACCCTTCCCCGGTGTGACTGCTGCATTGGCTCTCCCACCAGGCATGACAGCAGGACCCTTCGCTGGTGCAGGAGGTGCAGAAACAGGCACAGGAACCAACTTCTTTTCCTTCCCCCGTTCGTTTGGTCGCTTAGGAGGTTCGGGCAAAACCACAGGTGTTGTTGATGCAGGCAAAGCAGCAGCTGTTTGAGGCAATGTCTTGCCATCCTTCGTCACAGGGGGCAAAGCAACCTTTGCAGGTGCTCCGGCTTCTGCACAATACAACAACAACAGCTGTCAGTCAAAAGATAGAAATTTTAATGTGAACTAATCCTCTGTTAAGGGGGCAAAGCACTCTTCGACTGTCCTCTGGCATCAGCGCAGCACAACGAGATCTGTCAGTAAAAGGGTACAACTCAGTCATACCTTCTAAACTGCATGACACATTCCATTTGATTTGTTGTGCAAATGACAATGTTTTAATCCCCTTCAGAGCTACGGGATGACAAAGACGCATGCGAAATGTCCGGAAAACCTGTAAATGCCTCATGGCAAGAAGCCACAGAGTAAGCCCACGTCCTACTTTCCTCATCAATCCCCAGCCTGCACTGCTGGGCGCAGCACCTCCCCCGCAGCAATCAACGGCCGAGTCCAAACAGGAGAACTACAACTGCCACAACAATTTCAACTGCAGAAAAAAAAAGAATTCGGCAACTGCTAACAGCCAAATCCAATTGCCAAGGACTACGACTGCCACATGTGCAAGGAAATGAGCAATGTGAATGGCAATAAACCAGATTGCGGCATCCCATGGAAGTCCAGATAACTCTGAGCCCGAACTGATAGTAGATTGTGAACCGAGATAGCACCAAATAAGTACAAGCAAAGCATTGACGTTACATGATAATGAAAACTCCATTCTCGCCTCCAACCACCAATATCAACAATGCAGTCCTCCTATGTTGGCGCTCGGCGCCCAGACTACTGGTCCTATGAACCTACACTCCTAGCTACAACAGGTCCGCAATGAAGCCCATCAGCCCAATGACGAATGACTCCAAGTGGACGGCCCGCTGCTGCTTCACCCGGTAAGTGCCTCATTGCACAGCTCAGACCCTGTCTTTCCCAACCACTGTCCTCACGCCCGAGGACCACCGCTATCCCCCACTTGGCTTCTCGGCACGCTGCCCGGCTATGGCTGCCACCCAGTCACATGCTGCCCCAACACGCAGCTCCTCCTTCCCCTGGCCAGGCTCATGTGTGAGCTCCAGCAGCGCTGCCGCATGTCCAGCCAGTCACAATGTGTGAAGTGAGGCTGCCTCACTTCCTTTTGTGCAGGCTGCCTGACTAAGGCCTGGCTGGACTGGTCTGTGTCCCTGTCCCAGTACCCGTGCCCCACAACACTTCCAGAACGTGCTTGGGGCTCAACTGTATGTGCCCCAGGCCTCAGCATCTTCATCCAACGGCAGGTTGAGCCTTACCTGTTGGTTGGAGATGCTGCGTGCCTCAACCAACCCACTAGGCCCTATAACAGTCGTATGAATTCCTAAAACTTGCTTACAGTCCTATAGATCATGGCGGGCAGCCTGGAGTAAGGCCAAGTGTAATGAAGCCTGCAGATTCTCAGTGGACTGTACATTGGGCCGAGGGCGAAGCTCGGGGCTTGCCTCGGTCGGGCCACCTCGTAAGTTAAGATTCATAATTTTGTTTGGCTGAGGGCTAACCGAGAGACCTACCTGTAAGGAAAATTTGGGATGGACATATCTCCAAATTCGGGAAAATACAGGCCCGTACTAACTGAATTTCCTACAACTACCCTAACTGCGTATAGCAGGCCCGGGCTACCCCTAGAACAGACAGGCCCTATGGGCCTAGTCTGAATAGACGGTCCTATAGCCTATAGCCGGGTCCGGTAGAGGCCGAGAGGCTGAAACAGATACGGTACCGGTCGGTCAGTCAGTCGGGTCTAGGTCGGTGTAGGCTAGAAGTAGGATGGGTACATCGGTTCAGGGCTTTTGGCAGTTGGTACCGTGTACATCGCTGCTGCGCTGCGTGTGAACCGGAAGTGGTGACGGCTCAGCGTGGAAGAAAACCTTCAGAGCGCAGGCCATAGATGGGACCTGCGCTGTACTCTGCCAGCACGTAGGGGCTGACAGAGGTCTGGGTTATCGAGGTCTGCTGGAGGCGAGAGAGATTGGTGCCCTGCTGGACCCTCCTCCGGAGTGGGGTCCCAGAGGGTTGCGCTGCAGCCATAGCTGCAGCATCTTCATCTCAGAGGTCATCTTGTCAGGGTCTGGTGGCGCTGCTGCAGGCTTCCACCCGGGAAGCCTCTCGACACTTCGTCATCATCAGATACTGTGGCGCTGGTCTTCTTCTTCATCCTCTGAGTGGCGCTTGGCCTCAGAGGCCTGTTTCAGGGTGGCGCTGCCCCCAGGAGGCTGTATTTGGGTGGCGCTTGGCCTCAGAGGCCTGTTTCAGGGTGGCGCTGCCCCCAGGAGGCTGTATTTGGGTGGCGCTTGATGTTTCAGGGCTCAGGGGGTGTTACGGGTGTCTATCRGGSTTGGAGAGTGAAGCGCTGCTCAATTCTGAGCAGCGCACTGTAGTTCTGAAGTGATCCTGACATTTCGAGACTCTGAGTTTAATAAACAGTGTATAACTGTGTTCGGGCTATCATCGTTTCATTGTTTCCTGGATGTGATCTGCTCGGCTTGTCTCTATGACTGGTTGTGAGGATTGAGTGGAGTGTATTGCACTTTCAGAACACATTAATTTAGAACGTAAAATAACTCAGAACACATGGTTACCAACTATGAAATGGCCTGCAGAGAGCTGAACTCACCCCATGCGAAAAGGCTGAGAAGAAGTCACTCACATTAATTTAGAACGTAAAATAACTCAGAAGTGGGTGATAGGGTTCTCTATAAAGATGCCCAGGGCATAGTACAGGTCAATGGGTTTCTCTCCCCTGTCCCCTGTACACTCCATGACGAAAGCCATCATCGATCCCCTTTCCACTCCATGACGAAAGCCACTTCCATATTGTTCTCAGAAGGGACCCCACGACAGGAAGGCAACCATAGTGTCGCACGCCCGAAGACTTTCAGATGGGCATGACGCAGAATCCAAGAACCGACCACCGAGGAGCAAAATACAATGCAGCAGAAGACTGATACACAGAGATCTGACTCAACAACGGCTCAGACTGACTGCAACTCACACATCATCATCAACAGGGTGAGAAGGCATGGTGCTGAAAACATAGACGGAGAGCACCGTGCCAGATCACCATTCACAGATGAGTGACGGAAGAAGAGACAAAGTGGGAGAGATATGGAGATGTTGTCAACTCAAATGTCGCCCATATGAAGTCTCTAAAAAGTCTTCCAATGCCTTTGTCCAGCTATCAGTCTGAGTGCAATGTCACCAAGTCTCAAATCTCTCTCTCTCTCTCTCTCTCTCTCTCTCTCTCTCTCTCTCTCTCTCTCTCTCTCTCTCTCTCTCTCTCTCTCTC